CATTTTTCATTACCGGTTACAATTCTGTCCAAAAATGGTTCACGAGCATTACGTGCCAGAAGAGATGAAGCAACATTCACACGTTGGAAACGATGTTAATCAGAGTGTTTGTGAGGCACCCAAACACCTTTTTTATGGTGTTCTCCCATATTCCTTAGATGTTTACGTATTGTTTCATGAGAGACATGCAATTCGGGGGCATTTCATGAGTGTGTTCCCTTTGGTTAGACTCAACAAGCATCTTCAGAGCATCAATATCAATTCCAACATGTTGGCCCCTGCCATCACAGTATTTAAGGCTAAAATCACCTGAACGAAATTTTCTGAACCATCGTTGACTCTTACGAACGTTCAAAACATTTCCATAAATTTCTTTGAGGCGTTGTTTCCCTTCTTATATTCAAACAGCATTACATGCCGAATGTCATGGAATGTGTGTCTCGTCATGTGCCATCACCATAAGGGATTAAAGTACACTAGACTTTACATATTATATATGCTACACTAACATGACGTTTAGGCAGTTGGTTTAACTATTATACGTGATGTATGTTTTTTGGGGGATGGTTAATGAAAGTGTTGTACCTTTCTCCTATAAATATCTATATGATAATTAATACGAGACTGTGTACTGCTAGATAACTTTCTGCCATAGATCTTCATCTAATTATATATTTAAAAGATGGTATTTATATGTGTAAGTACATTACTGGAAGAATATCTATTTAAATGTGTGTGTGTTTTGAAGGAACTGCTTATGAGTATAAGACAGTGTACAAAATCATATTAGGAGAACTCACATCGCATTAAATGCTGGGAAATACGCGGAAAGGGGTCGAAGTGTGTACAAAAATCATTACAAACTTTCGTAGAGTACATACTTGAACCGCAATACCAATAAGAAATAATACTATCATGTAGGGAAGAACCTGACTTTCCCGGGTTTAACGCGACCAAGACGACAATCTTTACTACCTTTTCCTCTCCAAATAGTTCTTATAGACTTTCTTCAAATATGGGATGGAAAACATTCGGATCAAATCGATCAAAACAAGAACATCTCAGTGACTTTGGACCTCTTCTTTCGTTTATTGCCTTCATTCCAGGTTAGCAATTGGTTATGTTTATGCGTTTTCCTTTGGAGAAAAATAATGGAATAACAAGGTGTGATAAATGCAAGTCAAAGAGAAAGAATGTTACATCATGAATGGATGCTGAAATACTGTTGTTATAAAGCTGCAAGTTATTTTATAAGAATAGAAAGTCAGCTGAAAATTATTTTATAATCAAATAATCAGCTATTTGAGAAACACTAACCCTGAATGTTACCCTACAATGCTGTATTTGTTTCGTGTACTTCAAAATCCCTGCCAAAGGAGTAGTAAACGACCCAAACAATTCCAAATATCAGGACTGAAGCTAATTACATGGTCATGATCCTGAAAATTAAAGCATTCAGAAATGATTATAGTCAAAAAGTTAACAATTCAGCGTGTAGGATATAATATACCACTATCATGAATAAGTTAGTCAAAGTACGAACAAAGCAGCAATTGTATAAGGCTAAGAGGTAATTTAATAAAGTGGAAAACCGTAAGAGTGTCATTGAATACTTTAACCTTAATAAGTGAGCCAGTTCCCAGGTGTTATTGTTTGTATGTTACTAAAACTATCCATAAAACAATGCAAAAAATAAAATACAAGAATAAGTAAAAAATAAAAAGGTATTTTATATTTCTGTTTGGTAAATATTTTTTTACGTGACCATGAATAAAAATGACGTAAAATATTTATAAAAATGTCAATTTTTATTTAGCTCCAACTGCAAAATCTGAAAGCTTATAACGCTAAAAGCCGGGTGACGATACACGTGGTGAATACAACACACATATCCCATTTTGTAGCTTTGGGCTTAACTACAAACGTACAAAACCTTTCATTTATTTCATGCATACGTATAATGGTTCGGTTGTCCTTAAAAGTTCTGAACATGATAACAAAATGTCTTAAAATACCTAAACAGTAAATACGGGACTTCTAATTTGAAAAAAAAAAAAACTTCAAATTTATTTTTTCATAAAATTCTGATTCATACTTCAGAGAAGCGTCTGATGATTAAACCTTACTACAACTTCTTTTTTTATAGATATATATGAACACTTAGACTGTCTGGTTTCAGCATTCTTTAAAGTTGATCTGGCGCATATCTTACTAAATACAGCTTTCAAAATTAATGAAAATGTGTATTTGTTTTAATATGAATTGAGCAATATTAAGTGTCTATCGCAATACAATAATTATTCGGGGGACTTTATTAATATCCTTTTCAATAAATTCATTAACCAAATGAACATCCCCGTAGTCAATTAGTTTTCTCTTATGAGGGATACAACGAAAATTGCTTGAACATATTTATTCCACAAAGGAGGTGTTTTCAAGCCAAGTGTATGATTCCATAAGTTCTTTATATTTAGGAATGATAATTCCAACCTTGAAACATTCCAGATTTATATGACATTATAGATGCCCTGTTTGCCAGGAGGAAAACACAACTTAAACCAACATATGCCACTGTGTGAAACATAGATTATTCAACTATAAAATCCAACTTTATGTCGAGTATTATTTATGCATTAAATAACCGTGACTAAACTGTATGTACCATCGACTTGAAAATCATCAACTTGACATCAAATATTACAGAACAAAGATCAGAAATCCTATGCAATATCGTTACTCCTTGAGTTAAAAGTTTTGTTACGACAGCGGAAGTCACGCGAATCTGGAAGCATGCGCGCTGGAGTTTCTGGAAGGATCATGAATTATCGAGGAACCCCGCGAATGTCCGAGTGTTT